CACACACACACACACACACACACACACACACACACACACACACACACGTGAGAAGTACTACAGATACACACAATGTGATGCTGTCTGTCTTTTGTCATGAAGAACGCGGGGTACAAACAAAACAATAAAAGTCAATTTAGTGGCAGAGACAAAACTAAATTACTAAAAGAGAGCATGTAAGACAACGGGAGTTGTTAAGACTTTGCTGCAGTGTCACCATACGAAATCCCATCTCCGCCGGTTAAACAACAAGCACAGCCTCTCATCCTGGATCAGCAGGATCTATTTATACAATGAGGCGACGCTTTGATATCCGTATCAAGGATCACAGACAACAAGCCTATCGGATGCACTCTCAAAGTCTTGCCACACCCCTACACAGCCCCTTGGGAAGGTTTAATTATTTACACAGTGGAGTTTTAGTTTGAAGGGAAATGTGCTGACTTAACCAAGACTTCAATGGGGCATCCGACAGAGACAGAGAGGGAATGCTGAATGAGTCTGTGCATATTTTATTCTCGGTCGCTCTGTTAGATATTGGCATTACCACCAGCTCAGACTTCAGTGAATGGTGTTTCCGGAGCACTTAACCTCAAAACTGGTAAGTCCTTGTGTTTGATTTAAAGACAACCAGACAGGCCTGCTGTGCATGTCTGAGTGCTATCTGGTCCAGGGTGTACTGAATGAGACACCATGTTGATCTGGTACTCCAAGCTGATTAAAAAGAAGTCTACGTGTAATCGTAACGTATAGAGCACTATTTTTACCCTCCGCCATTTTCAGTCGTGTCCATAGCATGTTCACTTTCTGGTAGCGATCCAACAATGCAATACGTTGCATTTTATAGATGCATTAATTACAGTTGGGCAACACTACTCACGACACAGAATGCGCTCTAGAGTATACCACTGAGTGTCTATTATATAAGGGAGTATGTCAAGGTTTTTTTTATGGAGAGTGTAAACGTGCCTGTCTTTGGCTGCAGGTTCTTGCGTGGCTCTCCGGGACCCTCGATGGGCTGGTCAGCGAGAAACATCCGGGCTTGATCCAAAGTACTCATCACCAAGTACTCGCGTTCCTTCAATTCGGACCGTAGTACCTGCAGGAGAAATGCAAAGCAATGGGTTGAAGTGGCTTCCATTTATATGAAAAAAAGAGTTAGTGTTCGGAAAAACAAATGGCTTTTTTACTTTGTAATGATTAGAATAGAAAAGACAGTGTGTGATATCCAGTCAACTCTATGCAGTGATAGAAGACAGAACAAGCCATCTCAATGAGAAAGAAAGTCCATTTGAGAAATGGTGAATTCATTTATTCCCTCTGCAGGTATGTGCATGTTTGACTCTTTATCCTGCCGGCCCCAGTGAACTCCAAATGAACCTGCTGAACAAGGTGTTGGATCCAGATTGCTGCTGCTGCTGCTGCTGCTGCTAATCAACCAAATCTGTTTAAATCAGCTCCAACTTTCCCTTCCTTCCGAAAGAGACACTTATGATCTCCTCACACTCACTAATATGGCAAAAAGAAGACAAGCAGATGTTTATTTTCAACTTATGGATGAGATAAACAACACTCTCAGCGGCTAATTAGGTGATTGCAGAGTCTTCCCATTTTAAGCGGGAAAGCGAGAGATAAGGAGCCAGAGAGCAGCTATGTTAGGAGCGGCAGCGGCAGTGAGACTTCTGTAAACAGAGCGGCGATTGAAGACGAGAGTGCAGGGTTCAAAACAAGGCATTTCTTTTGGGGTCGGTGTGAAATTAGCTGAGTGATCTGCAGAGTAAAGTGAGCTGCTTGGAGCTATAACCCTGCAGGAATTATCACTACAAAGCCGGCTAGTGATACCACATATCCTACTCATCTTCTTACACAGAAGGCTCACACTGCGATAGACACATTAGCACACATGTAGCCACCGACACACACTCCAAGTCCCACAGTGCAGAAAAAAAAGATATGAAAAGTAAAAAAAAAATAAGAAATTACACTTTTCTTAACCTCATGTCAACTAGTCATCCTCGCCACAGCAGGATTAAAAAAAAAAAAACCGAAATAGAAGGCGTAAGCACAGCATGTAACAGTATAATTATTCTTGTTTTCAATATAAGTGTGACCCCTGATTGCCTATTGGAGTGCGAGATTGCTTTGTGAGGAAGCGATGTAGTTTAAGATGCTGTGAGGGAAGTTGATTAGATGGGACGACTCGCTTTGATAAAGTCTCACACTTATCAGACTTATCAAACAGACGAGTGCCGCTAGAATGAGACGCCGAAAATTCTGGTTTGTAGTCGTGCACACAACACTGACTGAGCGGCAGATGTCAAACATGCTGGGTTCATTGGGATCGTATATACAGTCCCATCTGGAGAGATACGAAGATATGGGAAAAAATGTCAGGGTGAGAGGGTGGGAAGGAACAGTCTGCTCACAGGCTTTGAGATGTACTTTTTGTTCTAGTCTCAAAATAACAAAGCTGATTTCGGGGAGTAAGTGGCTGTTAAGTTAAGACCACCGCAATAACAATTTCACACAGCATCCTGCGGACAAAAGTACCCTCGCACTGAAATGGAGCGTCCCGCTGAAGATAAATTAAATCACACCTGCTAATAAATGGTTTGCTCCGTTCCAATGATTTCCTACCTGCTCACATGGAGGAAGAGAGGAGACCTTGAGAGATGGAAAGTAAATGAGAGGTGATTGAGGAAGAGGAAAAGAGGTGTGTATGTGGAGTCGAGATAAGATAAAAGAGGGTGGGGAGCTAAGCTGCGAGGACAACTGCCAGCAGAAACCAACCTCTTGCTTTTTTTTTTTTTTTTTTTAAATCGTTTTTTTTGTTTTGCAGTCACAGATATGTTGGTGGCTTAAATTGGGATTTGAAAGGGATAAAATTGAGTGTGAAGATGTTGTTTATTCACAAATATTCTTTGCATAATGAGTTTAGCAAGTAAAATCAGTTTTCTTACGTCAATCATTTTTTCCTGCAAATCACAGATAGCGTTGGTGCTCGTGTGAGCACCAACAACAACATCCCGGTTGGACGCCTGATTACAACCAGATAAAAAAAAAGGAGCTCAAACAGCTGCTGCTGCCAAAATATAAACTAACTTTGGCTCTGTTTTGTGTCAGATTTAAAAAAGTGCAAATCTCAGAACAGTTGCTTTAGGCCTGGGTGATCATTCAATACTATCAAATTTAATTGATGTACTGATTTCTTTTTTTAATTCAATTAATCATTTTGTGTCAAAAAAACATCTTTACATTGCTTTGATCTCTACATGTTTGCTGCTACGTTAACGTTCAGATGTTAAACACAGCTCCTTTAATGTTGTGCCAATCATATTAACAACCATATCACACAGCCCTAGTTTGATAAATACTGTGTTATTTGTACCATTACAGTAGATGTTGAAATTGAAGACAGTAGATCATCGTTTACTGTTAACTGGCTCCAAAGAGACACAGACAAAGAAGGTCGGAACGGTGGCAACACAAGTAGTGCCAAGTAATTCCCTCTGTTAGAAACAGCCTCTCTGTGTGTCATCCAGCCTCTGGGTATCCGAGATCAGACAGACGACAACTCCAAAGACCTTTCCCCAACGCTCACATGAGTCTTTTGAGAGATGCCTCCCACTTGCACTCATGTTATCAGAGTGACACACAAGGACACACTTTTCAGAGGAAAGTGAAATGAAAGGTAAATATCAAACAGATGTACATATTTAAGGCTAAGAAAAAGCTTCTTTTTTTATAGCAAATCCCAGAGTTATGAGTGATAAGACATGGCTGTCTATGTCAAAGATAAAAAGGACCAGGTCTTCACTATGCTTCTGTATTCTGTTTTTAGCAAATCAAAACATGGTTTGGGCCACTGTGATTTGTGAAGACCAGATCCAGCTCCCGTCAATCCCACAATGCTTGATGAGTGACTGCGACCTTGGTTGTGTGCATGTGTGTGTATCTGAATCGTTGTGTCTGTGTGACGGTGCTCGTGTCCAGGTGTGTGATTGCGTGTGGCCATAGTAACACAGCAAACTCTTATCACCGTGTGCCCGGCGCTGTGGCGGAGATAAGATACCATCACAACACCGCTGCTTTCCGAGCGCTGCCAAACATCCCTCTATCCCCGCTCTCAAAACCCTGCAATCTCAGCCTCACTGCCATATTACCACACCCCTAATCTTCAGGAGGAAACCACAATGTACCAGTTGTAAACATCAGAGCAGCACGTGACTCCAGGAGCGTTCACACACATTCAAAGAAATTACAAACTCTCAAGAAAATGGGGACTTAAAAAAAATATTGTTTTGGTATTTTTAGAAGAGGCAAATGATTGAACTTGTTGTCTGAGCCAAATTAGATTTTGCATCTGCATACAGTTACACAGCTCCAAAAGAAGCCGTAGCCTGCACCTTTCCCCTCAACACCCACCATTATCTTGGAATAGCCAGAAGCTACCGATGTGTAGTAGTTGTTGTTTGCAATCATACTCACCGACATGCTCGACTAATCTACCGCTTCCAGCCTGAGCCGTATTAAAATAAGTAAAATACCGACGGACCCATGTGTCAGACTAATAAAGAAGTAAAGCATAGTTAAATAATAATGCAAACTCAAGTTTCTTCAGTGACAGTTTCTAATACAACATGGTTATTTTATTATTTTCTCTCAAATATGTATTGGATATGTTTATTTTACAATGCTGCTGCCACTGCAGTGATCTTTCAAGGATTTTAATCCACTGAAGAGACTTTTCTGTTGCTTCTGGCAAAAAGGAATATTTTCAATTCCCAATACAAATTCTTAACATAAAATCATATTTTTGTAATTTGTATTGTCACTGATCACTACCACTACTATGTAGTCACAGTTATTCATTCATTTCGTTGTCGTTTATATTCTTTTACACAAGTCTGTGCAAAGGATGCGAAGGCAAAAACAATCAAAACTTACTCACAACGAGGCAATTGAGTATTTCAAAATGTCCTTCCTTTCCTGAGAGATAAGGTAAAGTCCAGCCCAGCACTTTAATTCATTCCATTCTCCTTTGCTACCTGCCCGTTCAGGTGCAAATGGTGCTAATCAATCATGCAGGCACACTGATTAAGATGGGTTCTCTAGCGGAGTATTATACCCTCCTGGCTTTAGACGGGGTAATTGTGCCCTGCTTAAGCATATTAAGCGTATTAAGAGACCTCAAAGAAACCAAGTTAAATAAATTGAAATATAAATATAAATATAGAATCCCACTTTTTGCCAGTTTGTTTGCATACTTATTCCCTCTGAAACATTTGGAAGAGTGTTTGAAAAGACTCAACAGTCCGAACAATGTAGACAAGAAGCCAACTGTTGCTGAAAGATAAGAGTTGTTCAAAAATGCCCACAAGCACTCGGCACCTTTTTCCCGCTTCTTGAAGCTGTTGATTTAATAGAGGAGATTGATGAGTTTAATCAGCTGGATGCTGACGGAGGCCTTTTATTGGATAATTGAATGTGCAATTAATAAATTCTATTATGGCCATTTTAGCGGGGGAAAACACAGACACAAATCAATACAGAGAGGAAGGACCACAAAGTCACTCAAGTAATACAGGGCAATGCCGTTCCCTCCCTCTCTCTCTCTGTCTCACACACTCTTTTAATTCCTCCTGGGTGTTGCCAAATGAACGGAAAGGCTTTCAGGCAGAATCTAATGCAACAGTTGTGTTAGAAACTGAATGTCCTGAAAACAGACAGGTGAAAGTGCATCATGTTTCTGCCCCTAATAACTTCCTTTCTTCCACATATAAACCTCTTTCCATCCTCTTCCTGTCCATCACTTTCTTCAGGTGTTCGGACGACGGCTCTCTCATATTTTTCTTCCCTCTGATTCTTTAATAACTGTTGGCCTAAGTGGCTTAGCCTTCCCTTTTTATCTCCACAAGTCTTCCAGGAAAAAAAAGAAGAGGTTTTTCCACTTAGCCCTTCTAAGCTCTCCGTACCGCATAGATACCTATTTCCATAGAGCAATGCACATTTCCCCATCACACTGACAGAGTAGCTGTGTATCACTGAGTGACTTAAGTGTGCGCGCATGAATATGTAAGCACAGGAGAATAAGCGTGCGCGCGTGTGTGTGTGTCGGTGTAAGCAAGTAATAGAGCATGACGTGTTCAAAGCTCCAGCTCTTTGTGCTGCTCAGCCCCCTCATCCCTCTCAGGGTCGACAAGACCCCCAAGCCAATCTATTAAGAATACAAGGAGGAAGCAAAGGGAAAATACAATGCAACATAGTTCAAAAAAAAAAAAAGTGACCCTTCAACTCTCCCGTCCCATTATTTCCTATTCCATCGTTTTCAAAGCTGAAGACCTGGAGATGAACAAGGAAATGGGAGAGAGGATAGAGTGAGAGAAAGACGGTAAAGAAAGGAGATGCAAACGCGAGGGAGACCAACAGCAGGACAGACACCACGGAGGAGAAAACGAGACAGAAGAGCTGAGAGAGGGTAACGAGAAAAGGAAGGTGAAAGTAGAGATGCGGGAAGATTGTATTCTCCTGCGGGTATTATGTGCTCGCAATCCCGTTCCTTATTTAATGGACCGAGTCTGATCGGCTGGGTTGAGGCCCGTCTCTGTTTTCTGTCAGTTTCTGAGAACAAGATACAGAGCGCACCGCTATATCATCTCAGACCTCAGAGGACACATTTTGATTAACCTGGGCAGTTGTTTGTTGTCTCATGGCTCAAAACGCAGATAGAACTGAAACTCAGATGTTGAGTCCCTCATTCTAGGTCTTAACTGGCAGAGTATCTCTCTTTCTTCCCACAAGCCCAAACATGAACACGTTCCTTTTAAATTCATACATCTCTTTCCTTCACAGACTGAATATATATATAACGAGGGCAAGAGCGTTGTAGTTTTTCGTCCCTGGATACATTATATTGACCCGGTCTGGAATTGTCCTGACAGGAATAGTTTAATAATATAAGATTGAAGCCATGATTTTGAGAAACACTACTCTTTTACATAATGAGTTCTGCTTTTGAATGATGGTTCTCCATTAAATCATTAAAAGTATATACTTAGCAGGCATTACAGCAGCCAAGAAATTGATTGTCTGCCGATGCAGAGAGCCCCACTCTGTCTCTACAATAGATCAGTTATCTGCCATTCTCAATTTTTCTGTCTTTGAAATTAGAGGCCGCAAAAATGAGTTAATTTTACTAATGTTGAAGCTTTAGTTCCCCGTGTCTTTGTTGGGGGTTAGGATGAGGTTTAATATTCTTCAGTTTCTAGACTTTTTTTATGTCAAAACCTTTCTTACTTCCTTTATTCCATCTTCTTCTCCTTCCACGTATCAGTATTGAGGCGTGTTTGATTCCCCTCCTAATAATAAAGGACGTATCTAATTTCAGCTTTCTTGGAAACTGATCGTGTCTCTGTGTGCACGGTTGCTTTATTGGTCTCGTCTAGTATTGTGTCTACCAACATGAAATAAGAAAATGTCATGTAAAATGTAATTACATAAACATGTAGAAATGCTTGAGCTTAGAATTGTTTGTCAAACTGTAAAAAGAACGTGCGCATCCTTAAAGTGGATACACATGTACCTGGATACATACGGTATGCACACAGATAAGTTGTGTAAGTGTAGTAAGCATCATATACACAGATGTGATGGGTGTGTGTGCGCGTGTGTGTGTGTGTGTGTGTGTGTGTCCCAGAGGGCCAGAGTCTGTTGATCTGTCTTAGTGTGGGTGTGATCCTGCGCCCACGCACAAACAACACGTGTATTAACTCTCGAGGCATTTTGGGGAACAAAATAATGGCGTGGTGAACGGAGTGCGGAGAAACGCATTACGATGTGAAGAGCGACATCAACAGTAGTAGCGGCCGGCAGACTGGGAGTAAACAGTAGCCGCAGGGTTAGTCATCTATCTGAAAGCAATTACACGCCAAAGCACTATCACAATAACCAGTGGTTACAATAAATAATACAGTGGGGAACACGGATGACAAATAGCAGTATGGACAAAGGTGTGAATGGGTCGGCACAAAAAGATATTGATCTCGTTAGAATAAATGATGTGATGTGAAATAAGAGTGATAAATAACAATATTTCTAGGAATGAAATAGAAGGAACTCTGATTGTGTAGTAGTCATTTTGATATTGGTCTTTAACTCTGCGCTGATACAAGCTTTGTGCTTGTTGACTGCTGAGTGACCACAATAACACTGCTGATTATCAACCACGGAGAGGAAAAACATCCCACTGTGGTTCTGCTTGACTGCTGCAATCTGTACTTCAGCTAAATTTACTGCAGCCACCACGCTGACCAGCCTAATGTAAATAATGTCGGGGTGATTACTGCTACTGCTTTATGGTAACAGTGTCTTCTTGTGGTTTCAGTCCGTCCTGTTTGGCACTTGTGTAGACACTCAATACAGTGACTGAATGTACATGAGTACTTGCACCAGCACTATAAAATACTGTTCAACTGCCTGGATTATCATCTTCGGTCTGGATCATTACAGGTTATAGGTAGAGCGCAAGATTTCTTAAAGCGAGACTAATCCAGCATTGTGTCGCCTGGTCCGGTCTGGAAGCAGAGTTATTCTCAATTAAGCAGGACGGCACAGATCGTAAGATTGAATGACGACTTAATTCTATTTAACTGAGTCATTAGCAGTCAAATAGAATTAAGTCCCAGTAAAGCTATCGACATGATGCTTATTTAAATTCTCATCCAGTTGCCTTTGACTGAAATGCCCTGTAAACCCACACAGGTGTATTTATTTATTCTGCCTAATAAAAACTGCTCTGTTGAGGTAAGTCAGTACACACACCAAAGAGCCTTTAAGAAAGGTCCAATGAGGCAAAATAGGTTAAACGCCTTGATAGCACATTAAAGAAGGGCCTTTAATACATGGTAACAAAAATGCTAAAACCTATGCAGTAGAAATGCTTTCTCATCTGGGAAAAACTCAAATACTCAACTTTTAGGAAAGTTGAAGAAAACAAAGGGGGACAAGGTATGATGAATCTAGTCCAGAGTGTCAGGAACATTGCCTGTGGCGACAGAACGTACCGTGCAGTGGTTTTGCTGTTGCAGCAGAGTAGGGACATCTCCGCCGATGGGCATCTGCTTGGCCAGCTCGTCATCCTTCGTGCAGATCCACCTCCACAGCTCCTCCAGGAGGCCCAGCAGACGAGACCAGCGCTCAGCACTCGCCTCCAGATGGGCTCTGCCAACATACACCGTCCGCTTACGCTATTATTATACTGTGTGCATTTGAAACTCTCACTATTGAAGCCTATACAGTCTTGTACAGACATAAAGCTGTGTATTTAAGAGACACACATGTAACATAAATGTAGACCTATTGAAGGCTGATTTATTTATACAGAAGTAATGACACTTGTTCTTTTATTTTTAAGAAACTGATTATACAGTGGGTACGGAAAGTATTCAGACCCCTTTAAATTTTTCACACTTTGTTTCATTGCAGCCATTTGCTAAAATCAAAAAAGTTGAAAAAAACACTGAAATGTAGAAATTTTTGCAAATTTATTAAAAAAGAAACTGAAATATCACATGGTCATAAGTATTCAGACCCTTTGCTCAGTATTGAGTAGAAGCACCCTTTTGAGCTAGTACAGCCATGAGTCTTCTTGGGAATGATGCAACAACCTTTTCACACCTGGATTTGGGGATCCTCTGCCATTCTTCCTTGCAGATCCTCTCCAGTTCCGTCAGGTTGGATGGTGAACGTTTCAGGTCTCTCCAGAGATGCTCAATTGGGTTTAGGTCAGGGCTCTGGCTGGGCCAGTCAAGAATGGTCACAGAGTTGTTCCGAAGCCACTCCTTTGTTATTTTAGCTGTGTGCTTAGGGTCATTGTCTTGTTGGAAGGTCAACCTTCGGCCCAGTCTGAGGTCCAGAGCACTCTGGAAGAGGTTTTCTTCCAGGATATCTCTGTACTTGGCCACATTCATCTTTCCTTCAATTGCAACCAGTCGTCCTGTCCCTGCAGCTGAAAAACACCCCCATAGCATGATGCTGCCACCACCATGTTTCACTGTTGGGATTGTATTGGGCAGGTGATGAGCAGTGCCTGGTTTTCTCCACACATACCGCTTAGAATTAACGCCAAAAAGTTCAATCTTGGTCTCATCAGACCAGAGCATCTTATTTCTCATAGTCTGTGCGGGCTATGCGGGCTTTCATATGTCTTGCACTGAGGAGAGGCTTCCGTCGGGGCCACTCTGCCATAAAGCCCCGACTGGTGGAGGGCTGCAGTGATAGTTGACTTTGTGGAACTTTCTCCCATCTCCCTACTGCATCTCTGGAGCTCAGCCACAGTGATCTTTGGGTTCTTCTTTACCTCTCTCACCAAGGCTCTTCTTCCACGATTGCTCAGTTTGGCTGGATGGCCAGGTCTAGGAAGAGTTCTGGTCGTCCCAAACTTTTTCCATTTAAGGATTATGGAGGCCACTGTGCTCTTAGGAACCTTGAGTGTTGCAGAACTTCTTTTGTAACCTTGGCCAGATCTGTGCCTTGCCACAATTCTGTCTCTGAGCTCCTTGGGCAGTTCCTTCGACCTCATGATTCTCATTTGCTCTGACATGCACTGTGAGCTGTAAGGTCTTATATAGACAGGTGTGTGCCTTTCCTAATCAAGTCCAATCAGTTTAATTAAACACAGCTGGACTCCAATGGAGTAGAACCATCTCAAGGAGGATCAGAAGAAAAGAGACAAACTGGGAAGCTGGACTAATTTGTACTCTTGTGATATTTCCCCTGTACTGTACAGACAGCCACTAATAGTCTTTCTGCCCGGACAATGAACATAACTCAAATACTGAGTCAGAGGAGCCCAACGTTTCAGCGGTCTGCACACTTCTCTCTGGTGTCCGTTCACTTTATTTCTTTCATTGTGCAGGAAGGCAACAGCTTTACTAACAAGCCAGTTCTGGCTGTGCAGTTTGATGATTTGGTTTTCATTTGCAGACAGCTCCCATCCTCCTCTCTGTGGGACAGTTGCCACAATAGCCAGAAAGAAACTGAGCTATTGGCCTTTTCTGTGCCTATTTCCAAGATCCCCGTGTGGACAGCTGTAATCTGGCTGCCATACCACCTGAGGTGTGTGTGTGTGAGTCTCAATATTACAGACTGCCAATACTGTCCTGCTAGTCCGCCTCATGGAGCAAAGCAATACCGCTGCCACGTAGGGCACAGGTGCACTGCCTGAGAGGTCAATACACAGTTTCCACAAGGGTACTGGAGTGAGTGAGTGGATGCAAGCCAAGTTCAACCAGCATTATTTATAAGCAAGCTTTTTGTTTTTGAAATAAAGTTTTGTAATAATACAAGTTATATGGAGTATTTAAGGATGCATAAATCGATGGTATTTTTGCACAGGACGCTTTGAAATTCTTGTCCTGGTTGTGATCATGTTCAGGATATTATGATGTTTTACATGCAACATGAGACCTCACATGATTCTGATATTATTCAAGTTTTTGATCTGTGTGTCATACCAACATGTTTTTGAGTACAGTATATCACAATGAGTATTTGTGAGGATATCATTCATATCGCCCACTCCTAACTTCTGCACATGCCAGTTATCTGCTTATGGAGACGTATCCTGTTGAAAGCGGGATATGAATATGTAATATTTGCAAACACATTACTCGATCATCACAGGGTATCTGTTGTGGCCTGAGCCATTATGTTTTTGGGTCTTCATCAGTTCTGTCCTGTTGTCGTCATGATGCGATATCTCAGTAACGCCTGGAGGGAATTTCTCCAACTTCATAATGCTCTGCAAAAACACTTTTCTGGCCATTTTTAAGCACCAGGAACAGAAGGGAAAGTTTGTGACCATATTTGGTCAGATACTGAATTGGTGAACTTACACACTAATAGACATAGAGCAGAACAACATGACATACAACCGCGAGGCTGTAATTCTAGTTATCAATGCAGCGATCCACACCGGCCACGCAATGGCTCACAACTATGAACTTAAGAATTTTCGTGTTTTTTCGCTCCTGACTTTAACGCTTAACTGTCCATTGTTACTCTTTTAAAACACTTCTGAATGAACTGCAGTAATGGGACTTCCGTTGTAAATATGGATGTAGGATTGCTGCTGACTTGCTGCTTTCGCTGCACGGCCGGTGTAGACGAGGGGTAACCAGAATACCAGTGTGAATGTAATCACACTCTGTGTTAGCTCCCTGGGGGGTTTCCAACTGTGCTATTGATTTATATACAGTGCTATACACATTGCTAAACTGCTATACACAGGTAAATAACAGCATATATTAATTGTATACTCAAGATACTAGTATGTGTTTATACGTCTAAAAGAATAAGAAAGAGTTGCTTGAGCAACTCCACCTTCAGCTTAATTGCACAGAAATTGAACTCATCGTGACCATGATGCCAACTCCATCCGCTGTGAACCTCTATTTCTCTGAGTACAACTTTCAGGCCTGCAGCTGACTGTCTTCTCTCCCGCCTGTCTGTGTGTCTGTCTGGTCATTGTGCAGGTGGCGGTGGAGGACAGACTGAAGCTGCTTAAAGAAGCCCACAGAGACTTCGGCCCGTCCTCTCAACATTTCCTCTCCAGTAAGTACAGAACCAATGGGGGGGGGGGGACTTGGTTTGTTTCCACTCAGTTACACTGTTTCACATCCCCCTAAATTTCCCCATGTCCCATCTTCTAATCTTCGGCCATATGCTTCACAGTCATGCATGCTCGGTGGATATGTGGATGCACATGCATACTCGCGCGCGCGCACACACACACACACACACACACACACACAGTTTGCAGACGAGACACTTCACTCTTGAATAATGCAAGGCTTAATTACAGCTCTCCACTGTCTCCCTTTCTTTTTCCCCCCTCTTTAGAGTGGTCATTAGTAGAGAGAGAGTAACAGAGAGAGCTAGAGACAGAGCTATAGAGAGAAAAGATAAATGCACGAGTGTGAACATTAAACAAAGCAGCCAGACTCTCTCTCTCCCTGCGCGTCTCATTCTAATGTCATTTTCTATAATCATGCGGCCATTAGTGTTCTTTCTGCTCCACCTGATTTGCTCTGCTGGCTGTCAGACACAGAGATAAAATGGACGGCGTATGATTCAGAGGCAGGTGGTAAGCTCGGCCCGCCGTGCCATGTCTCCAAAAGACATGAATTTACCAATAGAGCCCTGCTGAGAGCTCAGCAACTGCACCAGACAAAACCACACTCCGTCTCTTCTTTCATCTTCCCGGCACTACGACACTATCTACTCAATCACACACTCGCTCTCATTACACTAGTAGCTTAATATTCCCTTGGGGATCAATAAAGTACTGCGTCATTATCTTGCCTTTCCATCTCGTATATCTCCCAATCTCGCTTAATCTCTTTCTCTTACTGTGTTTTCATCTCCCTATCTCAGCGTATAACTGTGTCAAGGAGGAGGGAAAGTGGGAGGGCAGTAAATCAAGCAACATTTCTGCTCCGTATTTCTCTTAAGAGCCTCAAGTCTTATATCTGGCTCATTTCCACAATGTGTCAGCCTGTCATGTCGAACATGTCCTTTGTCTGTCACTATTTATTGTCTCCTTTTCTTTCCATGAAGTTTAACATAAACCTGGACACGTGGTGCCTTTTTCTCAACAGTATTTTTCTCTGTTTAATTTATTGATCATTTCAAGCCCTATTTTCCCATTATTATTATTATTATTATTATTATGGAAGTGTTAGATATGAGATTTATATTCAAGTCACGCCCCAAACACTAAATGGATTACTGTACTTCATCTCTTCTTTTTCTTTGTCTTTCTCTCTCTGTCTGCAGCTTCTGTTGAGCTCCCCTGGCAACGTGCGGTATCTCAGAATAAGGTTCCATATTACATCAAGTAAGTGTCGAAAAATGGCTTCGATAGCCATCTTTGTGTGTCGTGTGTGTGTGTGTGTGTGTGTGACACAATGATTATTCTACAGTGATTGGCATTCAAGGCAGAGCAGTCAGGGTATTGTCTGTAAAAATGCTGTATTTATACCTATCATCTTTATTATTGGTTTGAAATGTGTTTTGTGTGTCACCCTTTATACCAATGCATTTTCTATTTGTCATCACCGGGTGTATGTCTTTGAGCTTTGAGCGCTTGAATTGAAGATTGATTTTCTTGTCTCAGATTGTTTTAGAATTTTTAGAGGTCAAACTAAAAAGTATTTTTTAAATAAAAGCAAAGGTTCCAGAAAAGAACATAACTGTGCGTAGCAGAGTTTAGTTTTTTTGTATTCCTAAGCCCGGTGATCTTCTTTTGACCCCTTAGGTTAATTTTGTGAGCGCTGTTAGGGTCTTGATCCTCAGGTTGTGAACCGCTGTCCGATAATTGAGATTCCAGCTACTGTCGACCTGGAGAGTTTGTAAAAATGCAGGTTAATTCAATCAGAACAAGCCAAAATATACTGAATTTTCAGACTGTCATATGATCTTTGACTTTAACTGACATTGCTGTAGTTTCCAACTTCGATATTCAAATAGTAGACCAAATGTGGGCAGTATGGTGCAGATGGAGTTGATTTTTCATTTTTATTTTTCATTTCAAAAATGTTCATCGTTAACTGTGAAATAACTCATTATCTTTTCTATCTAATGCTTTTCCACCTTTTTACATTAAAGTTCTGACCACTAGTGACCTCTCGCATACATCACCCACGGGTGTTCAGGTAGCTATTGTTCTGTGCACATTCAATGCACGTACTTCATTTATATTGCTCCCAATTACAAGCTCCTTTCTGCCCATTAGCTCCTGTGTGTGTATATATTAAAATTCCAACTGTTTCACCTGCATATGACTCATCCAGTCCAGCATTTGCACTTCCTTTTGAATTGATAAATACCAGGCTGAATCCCTGGGCAGCCTTCCACACTGTTCTAAAAGTGACTGTAACAACTTCAGCTTCACGTCTTGCTTCGCATTACATTTTTTGCCGGCCAAACAGCAGGTTTTTATTAAAACGGGTCGAGAGAATATCTGTGTCGATAGCAAACAAGGCAGCTTCTCTGCTTTTTCTCAAAGTTTGAAGGACCTCATTATCCAGAAACCATGTAACTGTCAGTAAACTGCTGACTAACCAAACCTAAATTCACCCTTATTTTAGAAACATAGTAGTTTCAGCTACAGCATCACTTGTCAGTTATGCTTTCCTTGTTTTTCTGGTTTCTGTTAAGACACTTACTGTGTAACTTTGTGATTTAGGATGATAAGGCAGTTGTAATTTTTAGGACTCCCTTAAATCGCCTTTGGCCCCGAGTTGAGAATGTCACCGTGTCAGTTAAATAGTCAGTAGCCATTCTTTTAAAACAATCCACCTTGTGCCATTGTTCCCAGAACAACCCCCCATAAAAGCTTCAGCCATGAATATGAACAGATCCAGACCGGTCTTGTGATGGGATAAATGTCTCCAAAGATTTAATGCAACATTTTCCAAAGCACAGCAATTTATGTTTAGTACGGTCGAAATTTAGACTTGCTTGAGATTGATAACCTTATAATATTATCAGTTGGTGTACATTTGGGACTGTCTTCGAAGACTCTAGCTCGGTGGTGCATTTAAGTTTTTCTGGAAAGCTTGTATCCCAAATGATACAACCAGCTAATTAAAATAAACTGATTCCGTTTTTTTGTTTTTGTTTTTTTTATCCTATTAAAAAAAATCTGAGTAAATTTGGAAGGAGGTCAAGATCAAATGTTGTCAGACCGACTAGGAAGACATAAACCCAGGGATTTAGACAAAGAGAGTGGGGGAAGGGACACCTGCGTTGTGTTTAGACTGCAGCTTGGCACTCGAGGTGGATCAGATGAAAGCCAGAGACAGGACGACTCGGAGGACAGGCGTCTAACATTACAGTCAACAACAGCCTGTGATCACAGATGTGCCCAGCCAATGCACCTGCATCCGCCCACTCGCACAAACAAAACACATGCGCACAAGGGTATTCACACAAACCAATACACACACATGCATTTAGACACACAAATAGAGATTCCCATCGTCTCACTGGCAAGTAAACGCTTACACGCACTCAAGAATGCATATTGTATAAGCCCCAACTGGACACAAGCTCAAACTGGCTAACAAAACACATGCAGCATAGTGAGCACACACCATTTGTTTTGTTGATGCTTCTGAGTTGGTTGGAGCAGATTTTCCTTCTGCCTGGCCTTTTTCCGCATTAAATTGCTTTTTTTTTTTTTTTTAGAAACAGGAAGAAAAGGATCAATCCTTTTTCAACTTTTACCTCAATGTGTGGCTTTTCTTTCCTTATTAAAATGAAGATAGTCTACTGTGCTGTACACTGCCCTCACTGAACCTCCCTCACACATAAATATACATGCAGGCTGCTGCATACTCATGCAAATCCACTTCATTTGCAGCCTGGAAACTGAACTCTAAATCCATCTCCAGGACTAATCGCAGGTCGCTTTCAGTGCCGGGACATCCTCGGGACACCCGCATCAGTCTTTGACACATTCATTACCCCAAACCAGTTCTCGTTTCCTCTTCCATCTCCTCTCATACTCTGCCTCTTTTCTTTGGGCAGACAAAGGGCCCCTGATTAAAACCGAGCCTTGTCCCCACCTCCTGTAGCGATGAGTTCAGGCGACATATTGGGGAGGAAAATCAAATGGCTTCGCACAAGTTCTGTGCCTGCCGTCTCACGCTGGCAACCTCACATGTTGTCCCATTTCACCCATTCTGGCACTTCAGCGGAGGGCTCACACGCCTCGTAGGCTAATTGAGGGGAAATATAGCAAGACTGCATCTCTGCAAAGATTTGATAAAGTCTCTGTGCTGTCTCTCCGTGTTTTTGTTCGGAAACCTTTGGTGGGGTTGGTTGGACAGAACACAACAGACAGCCGTGTGGACCTAATGCACCTCTTTCTTATGTATGCAAAATTGTTTTCAATTAAAGCAGTTTGAACTGTATGTCAAAAGCAGAACGCTGATAACATTGGCTGGGGTTGATTTTATAAGAGCAAAGGAGGCAGAGATGGAGACGTGAAAGCCAGGAGATGTCAGGTGGTGAATGCAGGCTCTTCTCCCCTGTCACAGACACTTCGTGATAAGTCTGGCAGGTTGCTGTCACCGAGGGGAAAAAAAAAAAAAAAAAGTTCCTGAAATCTTTCTCTGGCTTCCTCAGATATTTCCCTTATTCTGTCTATTTGGATATCCAAGTATTCATCTGCACACTCATAATTATTCTTTGTGCTCTCCAAGTGTGAAACAATGACTAACTGTCAGGAGACACAGCAGAAGTGTTTGATGGGATACGTCCACCTCTCGGACCATGGGGATATTTTTTTGTCCTTTAGTAGGAAAGACAGATAGACAGGCATAGTCACTAGTTATGAGGACATTGCTGATATGGTTAATTATGAGGCAGCAAATGTCACATGCAGTGCAAAAAGACACAAGCGGCTTTAGTGGCTTTATCGCCACGTAACAATTTTAATTTATCGCGTAAAATTACAAGTTTTGTTTGATCAGCAGTCCAAAACACTAATATTATTAAATTTTCAGTCATATAAAACAGAGAGAAACCGCTGTTGATTTATTTTCTGTTGCTTGTCCAATCAAATAATTGTCCACTGACTTTAAGCTGGTATGAAAGCTGTCAACTGAACTCTGCAGCGGACTAAACAACTACACCGGTCTGTGTTAACTCAAACCGAATTACTGGTGTGAAAGCAATTTTTGACTAGGAAGACCTCCCACTGTTTACTGACGATGTACTTCTGTAAGTTGCTCTTTAATATTCCCTGTGGCATCTCCTCTCGCCTTTGAATGTTTCCTGCTGTGTTATCAAACCTGCAGCAGCTTTGTAGTAAATGTGTCAACAGTTTGATATTTTTTTCCTCCTAAAGCACGACAAAAAGATTGCGTAGGCATTACAAAGGGAATACATTGAAGGGAAAGCGTTGAGTACCGTTAAACCTGGCAGCTCAGTCGTCCTCGTTATGGCATACATGAGTTGTGGACATAAGCACAGGCTTTCTGATCTTTCTGTTGATGGAAATGGAGATTTTTTTTTTAGTAGTGAATTGATCGTGTGTCTATTGTTTCTCTAATGTACCCTTCTACACTTAACTGATAAAAATGTTCTTTGGCAGTAGCTGTTGGCCAGTCTGTCTCCTTGTGTGTCTGTCATCAGCACCGGAAGACCCAGGCCTAAGCGATGCCTGTGAAAGTGTGAAAGGGTTCATCAGTCTGTACGGACATTGAATAGTGATGAAGATCTGTGTAGGAGGAGGGCCGCGCCGCCATCTCAGTTCACTGTCAGCACTCCACTTCCTGCTGCCTGTCAGCGGAGAGCGAGCCATCGCTGAAACCACAGGGGAGCCTCTGCATTCAAAAACAGACTTTTGTTTCAAAAAAACAGTCTTCCAGAAATTTTCTCAAACATTCCACACAGATCTGAGTGCATCCTCTGACAGCCAGATAAAACACACACACACACACACACACAGCCACAGCACGACCAGCAGAGCTCAAATACATGCACAGATTGGCAGCCGCAGCTTTGAGAAAAGTCAGATTCTTTGCTGCCCTGTGAGTGAAGCCAACCATGTTTGATCAGTTTTAGCACAGCCTTATTTTATTTATTTTTATGCCATTGGTTTTTCAGTAGATTTGGTGTGTTGTTTTGTATGTGTGTATTTGTGAGGCTTCTGTCTGATGCAGAAATGTAAACAGGGAGTTGAGACGAGGTCCCCTTATATTTATGTCCCCTGGTATTTGAAAAGAAAGATGCTGTGGTGATAAGAGGGATTCGCAGTATGTGTCTATTTGTGTGTGTGTGTGTGTGTGTGTGTGTGTGTGTGTGTGTGTGTGTGTGTGTGTGTG